CCCAGGAGTGATGTCATCACCACATGAAATCTGAAGCTGAAACTCTGAAAGATGTTGAAGGGATGTAAACACTCAAGACAATAACAGAGGAAGATGTACCGTCAATTCAAGAAGTAAACATTCAAGGAGCTTTCTATTAGCTATACCAAGCTAGCCAGCTAACAATCTTTAACTCAGTTGGTTAAACATTTTCAATAGATTATTTTAACAGGTAACGACTGGCTTGTTTTAAAACAATAACCATGTATGAGGTCTAACAATCCACATTATTGGTTTATATGCTGACAGACTGATGCTAAAGCTAGCTCCTCAGCAGCTGACAGAGGAAATGTAGAGCAGCACGTTGGTCAATGGTTTTAGTAAACTAGTTATTGTATTTAGGTACAGTATGAAATAAAATGTTACTTGTAATAACATGAAACATTTTACTTGTTCAATCAGTTAGACATTATAACTTTTTGTCAGACAGTAAGCTAAACGTTCAGCTTTGTGGCTTCTGGAAATGCTTCCTCCTTTCACACAACTTTGTGGCCAACAACATCCTGAATGAGAACTCCATTTTGTCGAACGGATGTCATTATCCTCCGCTGAGCCATTGTAGTAAAAACCCTGGCAACTGACTAATCAGTGCCTGTGTGAATGCCAGGATTGTTTACGGGCAATGGAGTCTCCTTTGGGAGTGTCGCAGCATCCTCTGAGGCCTGTGGCTGCGCACAGACTTTGGAGCGAGATGCTTTTTCACACTAGGAATGCTGGAGTCTGAGGCTCTGTGTATGTGTGGGACTTGAGGAAAGCAGTGTATGCATTATGCATCATTAATGAACATACAGAAAGCAGTCACAATGGATGCATGCACAATGCGTCAGTATCTAATGCCAGGGTCAGAGGTCACGTCTGGCTTTGTGCATGCCTCCCAAAGATAAAGACCAACAAGGAGACCTTTGAGAGCCCAGAAGGTTCATGGTCATATCAAGATTACAAAAGAAAGCAGTTGGTTGCGTAACTGGAGAAAGAGGATAGTCAGTCTGCACACAGTTTTACATTTAAATACATAGTGCAGAATTAATGATTGTGTGTTTATTTTGATAAATAATCTTGACCCTCTTTTATAATTGGCTGCATCTCATACAATGTCCCACAGGACCCGACAACATTACAACCTAAGATTAATTTATTTTTAAAGGTTTGCGACTTTGCGCTGAGGCCATTCCAAAGTTTCAAAACATGATGTTATGTCATTGCAAGTGTATAGGTATAGGTTTTTGCTATTCTCAAGGATAATAAGGTATTCAACTACCTGGATGGAATTGCTACATTTTAATCAATGATGCACGGCAGCATCCAGGTTTCAAAGGAAAGAGGAAAACCGATTATTGATTGAAACTCATGGACACATGAAAAATAGCATGGATAACTGGCATCTATGTTCAGTTTTTCATATCAATGTTGCAGGTATAAGGTTTTGGGATTTTATAATTCATACTATGGGGAGAATGAGTGCATTGAATTTCATGGCAACCCATCCAATAGTGGTGGTGACCTGAGAGCAAGTTCAGAGCACTTAAGGCAGTGACGTTAGCACAAGTCTACTCCTCTTAGCATGGTTTTTCTGCCTCTTTCTTCATCATGTTTAACGTGTCCATTGTAGAACACCTCAGCCTGAATGCAACAGTTGAACTCACGATACAGATGTGCTGCAGTCTCTCAGATTAGCATCAGCAGTAAGCAGCCACAACTGCTCATCCCATCTGTCTGTTAAGAGATGGCTAATCCTCCCTTCCATCTTTTCCTTACATTAGTCATGTAAACTATAGGGATCGATGCTTGTCTGTGAGAACAGAACAATTTGGGTGTAAATAATATGTCATCTGCACATTAAAAACATCTTCCACAAACACAACAAATATTTGTAAACGAAATGTTCTTCTCTCCAATAATTCAACCAACCATTTGCCATCAAGTGCCATCCATTATGGCCAATTGTAGAATTGAGATCCACAAATGCATATTGTATTCATCAATAAAAACTGTATTCAATGATGAAAAGTTGTAAATGTTAGAATGAAAGATATTCACAAATGCTTTTCTTTTACTAGTAATGTATTGACAGATTTTCTTTGTGGGATTTGTTTGTATATTTGCAGATCGGTTTTAGATATTGCATTTTTTTTTTTTAAATTGTTTATACTTTGTTCCTGCTTGAAAGGGGAGTACATATGTACAAATACATATACGATGTTAGTTTAGTTTTCACAAATACACACACAGCCAACTGGCACAGGTATATTTCCGCATGCTGCACTGACAACATGCACTGAACCGTGACCCTCGACAGCAAAACACGTAACGAACCATGACCTGTAAACTGTTCCACCCCAATCATGGTGGAGGCACACATTCAATAGGCTTCAGAGGCGCGTGTTGCTCGAACAAATGAGTCTGCTGAGCGAGAAATGCTGCCTAACATAGATGATTGGAACGTATCCTGAAAAAAACCTTGAGCAAGGCATTTATTACGTCAAAGTTCCACAGGAGCTGCTGCTCAATAGTATGGAAGGGCTGTGGCTGTACTGAGTGAGCAGTGTATATGTGCATGATCTGTAGAACTCTCCCTGTTTTGTGTCAATTAGGATAGTTAAATACGGATTAAAGGCCTCCATGCAGATCTGATTAAAGAGTCATCTAATACAGGGAGTGAAGTATCACATGACAATTGTAACAGTGAATCAAATAACATGAGAGGGAGAGGGTAGCTTTGAAGAGAAACCTTACTCCTAATTTAGGATTAAACATTTTCTAATGAAATCATGCAAAAAGAGAATGCTGAATAGAAGAACTATAGTCTTTACTAGAGACAGTGGAGCCGTAACGGAGCCTACACACGGCGGCGTGCGTTGCCGCTTCAACGCTTCTGCCCATTCACTTTAAATGGGGTGACGTCACGATTCGCCGAACTGCATTGTGGGAGCAAAGCGTAGCTTCTCTCGTGGTGCTCGCTGCAAAAGTAGAGCAATGTTCTACTTTTGCCGCCTCGACGGAGGCGTCAGCCAATCAAATCCCGCGTATGCAAATCTGACATTACAAGCGCTAGCCAATCAAACCGCATGTATGCTGGGAGAGCCAGACCGCAGTTATTTCCCATATGTCAAAATGATCGTGGCGGTACTATATGACCAGTCCCTCTTTACATACAGGGATACAAACCGGAGGAGCCAGGCATGGGGGGAGGTGGCAGAGACAGTGGGTGACACTGGTAGGTTTTCGCCTGTTTGGGGAGTTTATATCCAGTGTACTTCGTTTGAATGGACATCTAGCAAGCATAGACAGTATATTTAGCCAGCATGGATGTAGCATGAATGCTTTGCTTTGTATGTCCGGGGCGGGACATTCATGTGATTGGTTGTTGGTCGCGTTGTTCGTAAAAAATCCCCAAGCTTCAGACACGCCCACCGCCAAGCGGTAACGCACGCCGCCGTGTGTAGGGGCCGTAACAGTATTGGTGCTGATGTAAGGGTATATTTAAAAAGGTAATACAACAAATGAATAGTTTCATCATACACGACACGTGAACTGTCCTTGTGTGGAGAACGCCATTAAACCAGACTCGGTTTCATTTGAATCCATTTGTAGTGGTATTTGCTTGGTGGTCGGCGTGGATAGGTCATACATGAATATTATCCTTCCATGACTGGAGACTGTCTCCTGGTGAATGTCACATCCTCTGATACACCAAGTGGAATGTGGACAGTGGTGTAAAGTAACTAAGTACATTTACTCAAGTACTGTACTTAAGTACAATTTTGAGAGACTTGTACTTTACTTGAGTATTTCAAATGTATGTTACTTTGTACTTCTACCCCACAACAATTCAGAGATAACTTGTGTACTTTTACACCAGTACATTTATTAAATACCCTAATAGTTACTTTACAGATTTGGATGATGTGAAATATAATCAAGTGTTAAAGCAGACTTTAGTTCCACCTGGAGTAAATCCACAAGCTACCCTGCAGTAGGCCTATACACAGTCATTCAAACTAGCTGCACCTTTACCAGCTTCGATAACACTTTAATGATCACTCATTATTAAACATATCATATATATTATTCTGAAATGGACCAATCTGCATAATGAGTATTTTTACTTTTGGTAATTTAATTATATTCTGATGGTTATACTTTTACTTGACTAACATTTTGAATGCAGGACTTTTAAGTGTAATAGAGTATTCCTACACTCTGGTACTTTTACTCAAGTACAATATCTGAATACTTCTTTCATCACTGACCGTGGACAAGTTTTATTAAACGTGCTATATTACTTCACACGAGTTTGACAGCAGTTGTTTGTTAAACAAGAACAAAAGATTAAAATGATGAAATACATGAGATGGTTCCGTTATGTACGGAAGAAGATTAGGGACAAATGAGAATACATGTTTGGGATGTGACCAAAAGTAAAAACAAAGGTTGAGTTCTGACTTTAATCCCAGAATTCCGATTTAGTTTCTCAAAATTGTCTGACTTTAATCGTAGAGTTCTGATTTGTTTTTCCTAAAAATAAAGTCAGAACTCAATTATTATAAAAACAAAAATCACATCCCAATTGTTTTTCTTCTCATGTGGCCCTAATCCCCTCCCTTAGTTATGTGTATGCTGTACGACGAGTGCTAAATGCGTTATATTGGGCTTTTTTGAATGGGCTTCTGTGTGCAATTCTGTCTCTACATGGGGATTACCAAACTCCATGCAAGCCATGACTAGCCGGGGAGACAGTGTCCAAAGCCCCCTCACACACACGCACACACAAGCTCCACTCTCTCTCACACACTCACTACACACATGCGCGCCGTCTAGCATTAGCTTGTCACTGTCTGGCCACTAAACACACACTACAAGTCCGAGTTACGTTCAGGTTACGTTATCTAGCAAAGTCATGTAAAAGAAAGCACGTCACACACAGCACGCGCATGTAGCATTTATGTGCTAAGTTAAAGTACCTGTGTTGTAGTGGTGATCGTTGGTTGGTGAGATGAGCTTAGCTATCGCTGTCTCTGTCTGGCGCTTCACCGCTGATCAATTCTCTCCACATCACAGCTTAAAGCCAGCACACTCCAAAACGCCAAGCAGGAAAAAAAATAAGGATATTTTTTCTTGAAATGTCTCTCTAAACGGAAGAAACCGCGTCAGTGGTTGTTTGTACCTACAGCGAACGTTAGGCTGACCCTAAACAAAAAGTCTCGCCGGGAAAACACGTTCCACACACGGCTCACTGGAAGCGTTCAGTCAGTTGCTGTTGTCTTCTGGGGTAAAATAACACTACTATCATCCTCCATGAAAGCACACCCCTTCGAAACAAAAGTCCGACTAAATTCGCCGTTCGCTGGCGTCACAAAATGTTTATTCCAGTTTAAAACTTGTCAGGGGCTCCCCTTGGCATACAGCTGAATGGGTGGGTGGGCGCACCGCTCGGCGCTCGGAGTGAATCTCTCTCTCTCTCTCTCTCTCTGGAGCATAGGAGCAGCTATCTCTGTGCTGCTTTCAAGGGCTGTCGGAAACATCACTGTCGAGCAACTGAGTAATATAGCACAGTTTGCTATTATATTTCAGTTGACAAGCGGTTCGTGTATATTGTAGGAATCACGGTAAGAGCATCACTGTCAAGTAAAGTAAGTCTTTGGCCATTTCCTTTAAAATGTTAATGAAATTGAATATGTTGAAATTCCACATTAGAATATGCTAATTGTATCTGAATGACAGTATGTTGTCTGAGGTGGTCTGTTTTCATTTGAAGGCAAGTTTATTTATATAGCACTTTTCAACACGAGGCAATTCAAAGTGCTTTACAAAAAATGAAAGACATTAAGAAAATGCCATTTAAAATCAGTCATTAAAAAGAAAAGCTAATGAAATAAACATTAAAAGAAAAAATACATGGATAAAAGTTACAGTGCAGTCTATATGAATAGTTCAATTAAAAGCAACGACACAAAGAAAAGTCTTCAGCCTGGATTTAAAAGTAGTCAGAGTTGCAGCGGACCTGCAGGTTTCTGGGAGTTTGTTCCAGATATTTGGAGCATAATAACTGAACGCTGCTTCTCCATGTTTAGTTCTGACTCTGGGGACAGAAAGCTGACCAGTCCCTGAAGACCTGAGAGATCTGGATGGTTCATAATTTAGCAGGAGGTCAGAAATGTATTTTGGGCCTAAACCATTCAGTGCTTTATAAACCAGCAGCAGTATTTTGAAATCTATTCTTTGACACACAGGAAGCCAGTGTAAAGACTTCAGAACAGGAGTGATGTGATCCACTTTCTTAGTGTTAGTGAGGACTCGAGCAGCGGCGTTCTGAATCAGCTGCAGCTTCCTAATAGATGTTTTAGTGAGACCTGTGAAGACACCATTACAGTAGTCGAGTCTACTGAAGATAAAAGCATGGACAAGTTTTTCCAAATCCTGCTGTGACATTAGTCTTTTAATCCTAGATGTATTCTTTAGGTGATAGTAGGCTGATTTAGTAACAGTTTTAATGTGACTGTTGAAACTCAGGTCAGAGTCCATGACTACACCTAGATTTATGGCTTTATCTGTTGTTTTGAACATTGCAGACTGAAGCTCAGCGCTAACTTTTATACGTTCTGCCTTGGCTCCAAAAACCATTACCTCAGTTTTCCTTTGTTTAATTGGAGAAAGTTCTGACACATCCAGTCATTGATTTGTTCAATGCACTTACTCAGTGTTTGAATTGGAGCATAATCTCCTGGGGAAATTGTTACGTAAATTTGTGTGTCATCTGCATAGCTATGGTAACTTATTTTGTTGTTCTTCATTATCTGAGCCAGTGGTAGCATGTAGACTTTAAAGAGAAGAGGCCCCAAGATGGAGCCTTGAGGAACCCCACATGTCATATTTGTCAACTCAGATGTGTATTTACCTATAGAAACAAAGTTGTTGCTGTCCTTTAAGTAGGATTCAAACCAATTTAGAACTGTTTCCGAAAGTCCCACCCAGTTTTCCAGTCAGGTCTAATAATATGTTGTGGTCAACAGTGTCAAACGCAGCACTGAGATCTAATAATACTAACACTGAAGTTCTGCCACTGTCTGTGTTTAAGTGGATGTCATTAAGACCTTTACAAGAGCAGTCTCAGTGCTGTGGTTTGGACGAAAGCCTGACTGGAACACATCGAAACAGTTATTTAAATGCAAGAAATTACTCAACTGTTGAAAAACAACTTTTTCAATGATTTTACCTAGAAATGGGAGGTTTGATATGGGCCTGTAATTGTTCATTACTGAAGCATCTAGATTATTATTTTTTAAGAGCGGTTTAATGACTGCAGTTTTCAGGGCCTGTGGAAAAATACCTGAGTGAAGACATTTGTTTACTATATGAAGTAGATCTGAGGCCATGCAAAGAAAAACATCTTTGACAAATCCTGTTGGAATAATATCAAGGCAGCAGGAGGAGGACTTCAGAAGTTGTATAATGTCCTCTAGGTTTTTATCATTAATCTGATGGAATTGTGTCATGATGTCTGAATTGATGTTAAGTGGAGATAGGGACAACACATTTGCTGTACCTGATGCAGAGGCACTGACTGCTTGTCTGATTTTCTGAATTTTGTCAGTGAAGGAGGCAAAATCATTGCACGCCCTGGTGGATAGAAATTCAGAGGCTACTGACACTGGGGTGTTAGTCAGTCTGTCGACGGTAGCAAACAAGGCACGTGCGTTGTTTTTGGTAATAATGTCAGAGAAGAACGATTGTCGTGCGTTTTTCAATTCCAAATTATAAAGGCCAAGTCTCTCTTTATAGATTTCAAAGTGAACCTGGAGATTTGTTTTTCGCCACCTGCGTTCAGCTTTTCGACATTCTCTTTTTTCTGTTTTCACGGTCATGGCCTTTCTCCATGGAGATATTTTCTTGCCAGACACTTCCTTTACCTTAGTTGGAGCAATGGCATCTATAACATTTTTAATTTTTGAATTAAAATGATCTACTAGCTCATTTACTGAGATGTTAGCAGGGGCAAGTGTGGAAGAAAAATTCTGAGTAAACATTTCCCTAGTATTTTCAGTTAAATATCGCTTTGTGGTTACCTCTTTTTGAACATTTTTGTGAACAGAAATAGAGCTCTCAAAGAAAACACAGGAATGGTCAGAGAGTGCAACATCAGTCACCACAACCATAGAGATATTCAAAGTCATTTTAATACATTTTTAAATATATTTTAATGCATTCTTTTGTGAAATACAGCCGACAAGAGATGGTTATTTTTTGTATGTATTATTCATTATTTTTGCTCTATTTATTATTATCATTATTTCTTTCTTTATTGTTTGACATCATGTACTATCACTAACATAGTTTACAGTTGCATTTGTTATTGAACTTGTTATTATCTAAGAGTTATAGTTATCTAAGAGACCATGCATAACTGATATACGTACATTAACATTTTCAAACAATTTCAAGTATGTCTGTGGATCATTCGAATTCTGTAAAATAATTCTAGCTACTGTACAATTCCTGCAAGTGCTTGCCAAACTAGCCATCTCCGCTGGAGCAGAGCAGCAGACACTTGTCTTTAAGGATTATGTTGCTCATAATGCGAGAACACAACGATTATCCAGACTTCTTTTGGTATTGTTAAATATTGATGACAAGTCCTGCATTTTTCTCCCCTATATTGAGCCCCAGCAGATCGCACTGCTCTAAGGCACGTTGCCATTACATCTGCTCTTTTTCAGCAGACAAGCAAAGAAGTAGAGCTACTTTACTCTGCTGTGTGAGCAAATTTGGACAGGTGTTACAACTTGTCCAGCTGCTTTCCATACTCCATTAAATATAATTCAACTAACATCTAGAACTGTGCTTCCATCTGCTGAGCATTTTGAATCGGTCTGTCCTTTCTCCTGCCACTATGCCATAACTCTAACCACCAATGTGAGGAATTTCAGAGGGAGCTCATGACAGATGTGTCACTAGATAATAGAACCGTCACTCTGCATTCATCCAGGAACATTTCTTTATTAACAAGCACTATTTTACAGATAAGACATTGTTGCTAAATATCGAGAAGGCACATTCATCATAGATCATGTCACGATGTCATCTCTGTGGAATCTATTCAGCTGCTAGCTAACTGCCTGTTTAACAGAGGGATGAGTCATTGAAAAGATTGAACTGTCTGCACACTGCTAAAAGAAATAGCTGGGACTCAGGAGCAACACTGCTGCCCAATGACTTTACCTCTTCTCATTGAACACATTGTAATTGCTGGTTATCACTTAGTACACATGTCTAAAAAACACTTTTAGACCCTTTAATTATGGCAGGTTAACAATAGGCTTTACTTAAACTAATTATTACCTTTTTCCCCACATAATCTAGTTCATAAAGAAAATTGATCCAAACCTGCCCTCTAGTGAGCACATCTGTTCCACACAGGCAGACTAACACTTGGGTTACACACTGCCACCATCAATATGACATTTACTGAGGACAATCACCATGCATTTAATGACCGATTCTGTATTGTAAAAAAACACATAATTCCAAGAAATTGGACCGAATTTGAGAAGTCAGGGGGACTTCTCAAATTCGGTCCAATTTCGGTCCAATTTCTTGGATGGAAGCCATCAAAAAGCTCTTCAGCTTATAAAAATCCCAACTCTTTCAAGTGCAACAACTATGTTTGACGATATTGCATGTCTACATTTGTGTGGGCTTAAGGAACAATATGTTAAAGCATAACCACAGCCTCGAGGTCATGTTAGTGAGAGAGTCAGTTCAGGTCTCAGTTTGAATGTATTCATGTTGTCTGTACAATACATGTGTTTATCAGGAATAGCAGAAAATATCATAAACACAGAGAAGATGCCTTTTTCAGTTACTCCCTTTTTAATTTAAAGTAAAACAGGAATATAAAATCATCAAATCAACATTTATAGACAGGGAGATAATATATGACAAGGAAAAAAAACAAAGAATAAAATTGCATTTACATTGTGCATTTATACTTTACATTTTATAAATCTTTGCTATTTATATCTGGGTCTACTCTCTATTACAAACTGGGTTAGTTTAGCTACTGTGTCACTGTACCAGTACGGCAACAATTAAAATCACACACCAAACACGTTTTGTTTTTCTGAATTGTAATCAACAGATTTCAGTGAAGTGCTATTGTATGACTGCAGGTAACAGCCAGAATGAAGCATGAAGAGTCAGGCGGGGAAACAATGCAGAATGTATTCAGTATGGGAGAAAGACAGTGGATCTTTATTGTTAGTATAGGGATTTACCTTACATCCCAAAACATGTTGTCAGACAGAAGTTGATGGGATTGTTGCCGTCCTTCTTACGCGAACATCGGACTCATTTGATGGTCCTCTTGTGTGTATTCACCCAAACATCCAATGTACCAACTGTAAGTTCTGCATCGAAAAGAGAGCAGCTGACGCTCAGCAAACAGAAAGCTCCATTTGATTGGTTGACCAGGAATTATGCAATCATCTAAGCTGCTCCAACTTTAAACGTGTGACTCAAGTTTAAAACCTCTGATCCGCTAACAATCAGCTTGAAATCAGGATTGAGTTAAGAAACAAGCAAGGGAACGTTTTGGTTTTTTTTGCTCCGAAATATTATTTAGAATGTATTTTTCTCTCCTCCTCGGCCAGAACATTTTGTTTACCCGAACAGCAGTCTGGAGACGTTTATAAAATAGAGGATTTGGCCAGGTTGCACAGCATGTCACATTTACTACTCACATGTGTGCTCTTTTTAAGAATGAAGACAATCTTTTTAAGAAAAGGTAATTACATTTAAAAGAATAATGTCACAGGGGTTCAATGATTGACTCTCCCAGACTAGAAACAACAAATAAACCTGTGTTATGATAAGTGACTGTAGGAACTAAAGGGATGAGCACAGTTTGAGAGGGGGAAAGGGCGTGCAGCTTTCTAGTAAAGCACCCACACGTGTAGGCAATAGATCCTTAGGCACCCAGCAGCTAACTACGACACAGACACACAGGAGAAAAACCTTCCATATTTGATTTGAAGTGATGTGATTTTCATTTTGCCATAAAGTCCAGTTTCTAAAGAGCACTGAAAGCAGAAAGAAGCAGAATGAGTTCATAGTGCAAATCAGAAAGCAGGCTGCAAACTGTAAGAGGAGATCATAGTGACGGAAGAGAGTCCCACAGCACTAACAAACGCCACGTCTGTGTTCCGCAGCGCCAGACGGCAAGATACATCCAACATTAAAAAGCTGTTGAAAATAAAATGATTTTCTCTTAAAAAATAGATACTCCTTGGAATGTATGAAAATATTTTGAGCATCGTCCTATACAAACACGTGAATGGAATTCATTTAATTTAGAGAATGTTAAAAGTCTTATACCATTATATATACTTGTTTTTCTTTGATCAGGGTCGTTGCTTATTTTCTAGAATGAAAAACTAAAGAAAGGGGATTTTCTCAGCTGAGGACTTGGCAGCAACATAATCAAAGATGAATGCATTCCAGAACGTCCCATTCCTTTGAGGAGAAACGTAGTGGAACGTCTGTTTACCCACTTTAACGAGGTCCACTGTATCGCTCCAGTTTTCTTAGCCTAGCAGAGTGAGAGTTTGAAGGGAGTGGTTGTTCTCAACCTGTAGTCATACATGTCAATTCAAGATATTGATCCAACTGAATTTGCTAATCATATTTTAGTGCATGTAATGGGTGCGTTTGTCTCACTGTACAATATACACCATTACATTTTAATTAAGCACTTTAAAGTCAATTTTGTGCAGTTTCATCTATTCAGTCTTAATAGACTAAACTCCACCAAACCGGTACTTCAAGGTGGTTAAAACAAACAGAATAACTCACAACTGCATTCTGAGTCAGACTGTTTGCTCCCTTGAAACACACAGCTATATTTAAAGCCTCTCTCACACTGCAGCAATCTCAATGCAAACAAATGATATTTACATTCAGAATTTGCTGGAAATTCCTGCCCTGTTTGCTCAGACACTCACTACAGGAGGGTGAGGTGCATGCTGGGCTTTAGCCGTCCTCTTCTTGGCTCTGGGTCGGGGTCTTCTCTGGATGAGAGGAGCCTTCGAAGCGCTGCGAGGCCATGATGGCTTGGTGAGACATACTCTTCCTCACGATGTCGCCCTTCCTCCACAGGGTGATCTCCTGCAAACACACAAACACTCTTTTTACGAGACACGTTTTGTTAATCAGGCATATCAGCTAACCAGAGCAAGAAGCTAACGTTAGGCTATAAAAAAACGACATAACTGTCACATGACTTCACGTGAACACGGCTAAGCTAAAGGCAGCTATTGTTCGGTGTGATGAAGTTTAGTCGTCTAATTTTGACGTTTAGTCAAGCGCCTTTAAGACATGTTAAAGCTTCAGAATGACCAGAATGGGGTATTTACTGACTGATTTGATGTTGTAGAAGAATATGTAAAACATTTTTAAACTTATATTAACCACAAACCTTATTTTAGGGATCTTCAAAAGGGAGATGGAACAAGCCTGGAACTATGGTGTTGATAAATGATCTAGTGATTTACTCGATTCATCGTTTAACCCCATTATCTCAAAGCCCAAAGGGACGTCTTAAAGATCCAAACCCAGATATATTCAGTTACTGCAACAAGACAGCAGCGAGCAGAAGCTGGAACCAGATAGTTTGATTCAATCCAATGAATCCTAGATCTAGTTAGAAGTGTTTATTATGCATCTGGGAGCTGGAAATACATTACAACAACAAATCTTTTAGTCCATAAACATGGAGGATTACAAAAACAGAACTGTCAAAGGTAGCATTGCCAGAACTTACATTTCCCATAATGCAACGCAATATGTCTTTCATTAGAACCTGATTGTATTTATTTTGAATCAAATCCAAGTCCAGTATGGAATAGGGCTGCACCATTTAAAAAAAAGCTGCATGTAACTTTTATTGTGGTCACAATATAGGGAATGGGATTGACCATTTTGTATCATTATTGTCATTATCATAGAAACGTATATAATGATCATGGTTTGTTGTTTTAACAAGATCTGTACCTAACAAGTATTTGTGTTAAGAATACTAATGGCAAGCCGGGATAACTCTGGAACTCCTCAATACTTCCTTCAAACATTATATTTGACCAATATTGGGCTTCCTAAATATTGCACTAAGATATATCTTCAAGCCCAAGCCAAATTCTGTCACATGTTAACTCATTATGGGTTGATTCTGAAACTCCCTCTGGTGCTACAGGTGACGTTACACACCTTCATGTGATATGTGCAAGCTGAAGTTTACATTTGCGTGTGAAGAGAGTGATACAACATGAAATGACAGCATTACCAAGCACAGAATAATACTCTTAATTGATGTACCTGAGCATCAAGAAACATAATGAAGCAGCAGCTTAAGTGAACAGCCAAGCAATCATGAAGCCAGAGTGCAGCATCTGTACCTGCTGTTTGAAGTAGCGTCTCTCCTCCTCATCGATGAGGACCAGGTTGAGGTAGTACCGCACCGAGTACTTCTTGTTGATGTCCCTCATGCTCGGCGTCATCTCATAGCCTGCGAGGAACAGCCTGATGGGGATGGACTCTCCTGCAGCACAGCCAAGCAGAAGCAGGTAACATGTTTAGAAGTGGCCTTCAACAGATCCTCACAACGGCTCATGAAGACAGGACAAAGCTGCTTTACCTCTGACTGGTGCCCCGTCCATGATCTCATACTTTGCTATGGTGTCGTTCTCGTGGTACACGTTAGGACCTGTGCCGGTTGTCTCCCGCTTGATGATGTCAATCTCCATATGTTTGATCTTAATCCTCACCAGCAGAAAGTAAATCTTCCCTACAATCACATCTTTAAGGTGATACCTGCAAGCAAATGGTATGATCCGTCACACTCAATCTTCTGAAGGGAAAAAGTCTGATCTACATTTCAGTAGATTATTTGACATAAAAATACATACTTGGATTTATTGTACTCAAACTCTATGTGTAGACAGTCCTCGATCCCCACTTCCATCTTGATGGAGGAGTTGAGCTCGGGGTATGAGCTGAGTGTGTGCACCACGATTTCCAGCTCTTTGCTGATGTCATTCAGCCTCCGGCTCACTGTGGCCCTCAGGAAGTAACTGGAGAGAAAGAAAGAACGATCACATGACTATGAAACAAGACTGTAACACTGTTGTCACAGAGAGGCCCTGTAAGGCTCCACATTACAACTATGAGTGTTACTAATATTCTCCTCTGACCTGGAGTCCACAAAGAACACATACGTGTGAAACTGTTCCTTTAACATTAGCGTTTTCCATGTTACACGCAAAATGTTCACAAGTATGTCAACACGTCACCATAGAGTGGTGCGAGACGATGTGTTTTGATAGGTCGAACCTGAAGATAGCAAGACAAGAGCTCCCTCCACCAAAAACGATGGGATTTTTCTTTGGACTTTGTAATATTGCAGAACATTTCTGAAATATTTGTCTCCAAATATTAACACCACTTTGACTATTTTTCAAAGATGAATGAAATGATCAGAATTGAAGAGCTATTAACAAACTACATCCCCACCACTAAGGCAGCTCATGATGTCTCATTTAAGAGCCAAAGAAGCTCAAGACATTCACCAGTGGTATGCCTACTGACTGACTGTATTTGATGTTAACAAGTGTAGAGATACCATGATGACAAGTATTCAGTCATTACTGTTATCTGAAGTGTTGAATAAGTAGAACAAAGACATGTTTTTTATAAAGTCACGTAATAGATCGGAATGTTGTGACATTGGGTTATAAATAAAATGGTCTTGACTTACACAAACACTGAAACATGCAATACATACATCTGCCGCTGTGTCCTACATTAATGCATCATGAGATCAGCCGATTGTAAAGATACACTAAAACCAATAGTTGAGGAGAGTTAAGATTCAATGCTATTACTATTAGATGATTCGGTGCATGTTCAACCTACATTTCAACATAATATACAAGGCAAAGGATTTATGCAAACAAAGCTTACCGTAATTTGACGTTCTGACCGGTGTAAGACTCGTAGGGTTTCTCCACATGTGTGAACTCAAAGTCAAACGTCTGTGACTGAGTGAGCTCCCCGGGCCGCGCCAAGTCCTTCACCAGAGACACAAACTCATGGTGGTTCCCTCTGTCGTAGTACAGCTCTGCAGAGGACACAACAGAAGCAGACAGATCCAGAGGAGCAGGTTGAAACATTGTAATAAAGCGTTTGCACTATCTGTAACTCCTCCACCATATTAACTAACTCGCTTTCTAAAAAGGCCAATTTTTATTCTGCCACTTTGCCCTTTATCCCCGAACCAAAGTACTTCTGCTTCTTCTTTATTTCAGACAAATGGTAGTGAACATAAGAGGGAGGGACGCGTGCAGCATTGTTGATAATATCAATACGCAACTGTAATGTAACAAAGTAACACCCTACTGTTGATGTACAATCACACTAAAGCTTATTTACAGTATTTTGCTGTAACACTGTAAATGTCCCTGCTGTGGGACTAATACAGGAGCAGGTGGCCTTTGTTTTGTTAACGGAAAATGAAAATAGAACAGTACGCCCTTTTTAGTTTGTAAACAAGCTGTAGTTGGGCTGAATATCTCTTAATGAAGTGAGCGGCGTTACACAGTGCAACCTTTGTGGAATTAGCCTCTGATTCTAAATGCATATTTCACCGTTTTACTTCAAAACAACCAAAAGTTCCCGGCTGATCTCATTTGTAAAGGAATGCTCTTGATTCTTTGATACATTCCTGAGTAGATGAAGGGTGTTTGAAGTTTTGTTTATCAAATTAAAGTTTTGTAATGTACTTTTGGTAAAAATCAATGACAAAACTTTGTTGTCAGTTAAACAGTCCAAACTGGGACAGGGGACACAAATTACACTTGGCTGGAAACACTGTTTTCAACACATCTATTCTGTAACCATGAGAGGATTACAAAATTGTAGAAATATTAAAGTACTATCATCAAAGTGCAGTGTAAGTATCAAAAGTACTCATAATGCTAACTCATAAGGGAGTGCTTAAGTTTGAGCCCCACTGCAGTCAGCATGTCGTTGTGTCCTGAGACACTTCACCACAAAGTGCTCCTGTGGGGATTGTCCACAGTATTGAATGCATGTAAGTCGCTTTGGATAAAAGCGTCTAACAAATGACATGTAATGTAATAATGCAGCTGAATGGTAGGACACTTGTCAACGTTAGACTTTTGATGTATTATTATGGGGTCATTATTGCTGATGCATTAACATATAAAAGCATGATAATGGTTCAGCTGGTCAATGTGGTTTTACTTACTCAATATATTACTGCGCGGTTCTATTTTGTTACAAATGTTTTTTTTCATATAAACTCGTAAATGTCATAGTAACTCGTAGCTTAAACTGTAAAATTAATGTTTTGAAGTTAACAGTATCTATTTTCATTTGAGGAAAGAAGTATCAAGAACAGTAACTAAATACACTTACTTGGCTACATTTTCACACTGCTGAATCAACTTCAGTTCCAGTTTGTTGTTTTTGGTTTGTAACATCATGCTCAGTGTTTGCTAATAGCAAAATAGCAACTTTTATTCGCAACCTGCGACTAATTGCGTTATGTGTAACCTGCACTCTTATCCAGAAACTAGTTACTACTTCCTATGAAAGTCACAGTTGTAATGTGACAGGACAGGTTTTAGAAACAAGGGTCAAAGGTAAATGAGACAGCTAGCCAATGGCTGTGTCAGCTGATGTTAGCTTGCACCAACATCTGTCACGAGACCTGACACTTCAAACTGACACTTGTGGGCCGCAGTGTGGCGTTCAAGTGCTTCACTCGTGAAATAATTAACGTTACACTTTGGGAGTGTTTGGTTGTGTAGTGAGCGCCTGTAGCTAGCTCTCTAACGTCTCCTCTCGTACTTTGTCTCTCGGCAGGCCCGCAGCCGCTCACCTATCTGGCCGACAAACTCAATCTTGATGCCGTTGTGCTCGAGCCTCTTCCCCGGGTACTTCAGCGTCACGTTGACTTTCCCCGACACCGTTTCCCCATCGTAGAAGAGAAAGTATTTGTCCTTCCTGCCGTCTTCGGTTTTGTGCTCAGCTTTCTTTCTCGTTTCGGCGTCATTCAGAACTATATCGATGTCCGCACTTTGCCCGAAACCAAAGAAGCTCATGGCTGTCACTGTACTCTAATGCAGCACACAGGCTCGTGCTCCTGTGCAAACTGCTCCCAGATTATTGAATATTTCCAGTTACAACAGTGTGAGTGCGCATGCGCGACTGTCACGTGAAGGAAAATCTTCTCGTTTTTAACGTTTTTCATAAACAAAAGTGGCATACTCTTCATTAACACGACGATATATGGTTGTATGTGGCTATTGAAATTAGATAAATTATGTTGTAATCGCTACGTCTGCACTTTTTCGGCGCAGTATCAACAGGCGGAAGAAACTCACTCAGTCTTTATTCCCGGAGTGCTGTCTTTCAGGTACTCTTCACTGTCATGTAGAAAGGGTCGAACCCAAATCATTGTGCGTTCGGATCAATAGTTTTCTCCTTTATAATCAGTAAATGTCCTGCACTCAAAACGTAATCAAGTAAAAGTACAAAAGAGACATTAGATAATACTCAAAGTAATACAAGTAAAAACACTTTACGCAGAATGGTCAATTTCAGAATCATAATGTAGGCCTATTTTATAAATAGATTACAATAAGTGATTTATTAATGTGCTTATCTCTTGTGGCAGATGGTAAATGTCGAGCTAAATTTAACAAGGCTACTTTTTGTACTGTTGGTTAGCTTAATCCATAATCATGTCCTAATTTATTAGATGATTTATATTGTATTGTATAAATTCACATATAAATACAAGAATAAAGGTAAAGACTGGCCCAGAGTTCCCTTTCATGCAAGACAAATAGGTAAGAACAATATACCTTCTCTTATTAAGCCAGAATGAATTCCTTCTTCCTTGTTCTATTTCATAGATGACATCTTGTTTCACAGCGGTTGTATTGTATTTAGTTTGCGTGTGTATGATTGTTTCTAGATTTTAGGTCTTACTTTTATAATGTAAGCCATTCCATGTCGATCACCATGTTGATAGTGTGGTTGACTTTGGAAACACCAGGGACAATGATGGAAATATGTGCCTTGAATTTTTGGCTAAATCCCTAAAAATATGTATATGTGTGGGTTTTTTCATGAATTGTAGAATCGTAGAGAAAAAAAAAACAATAAATAGATCTTAATATTGGTATTAACCTTTACTCTTGATTTTAACTTGTTTACTTTGCATTGACCTTTGTTTTGGATTTTACTCCAAGAAGAAATTTGAGTGTGATGTCAGTGCTGCACCACCAGAGAGCAGAGTTCACTAACAGGAGACAGATCAACCATCTCCACTTAACGTTTCCATCCCTGATTTAGTGTGCAATATTCAGTATTTTAAAGAAAATCTATTCTGACAAAGTACTTTATTTTTTGTTGTTTTAAGGTTTCATTCATACAAGTGTATCTGTGAGAGAATTAAGCAAATCAGTCAGGTTATCAACATGTCATTGTCTCACTGAGAAAGCCTTTAAATCACAAGCTGCCATTAAAGAAACCCCATTCCTTACAAATAACTTTATATTCTAGCAGTTGTACAGTTTTGCATACATAAAAGTGTATCTAATAGTATATTTGTACAAGAAAAAAGCAAAAATCAATGATGTTAACAAAAATGCTTTCACTGAAATAGCGTTAAAATCACAAAGTGCCTTTAACTTGTTAAGCCCTGAGCCTGTTTTTCAGGTCTCAGGCTCGAAAATGACATTCCCAGAACAAATGACCATATCTTCCCTTCTAAAAGGGTTAAATTAATAATCTTTTTTCTCAAAGCAAGGTTACACCTGTGAGTTGGATGTAGAAGTGTCAGAATCAATATAGATGTTTTTATTTTAAAGTAAATTCAGATTGAACACAGTCAAAAAAATTAGATTATTGTGTCCGTCCAAATTTTTTTTTTTACTTATAGTGAAAACCACCCTTGAATGATGGGATGGTAGACTAAAAGCTTTAGAAATCCAAACTACAACATATAATAAGTACCCTGCATCAAGATTGATGCAAAACAAGTGAAATTTGACATTTTTAGCGAGATTTAGCAACAAAAAAAACACTTCTGGGGTCATTTGGGTGGATTTGACCTATCTCTGGCCCCCCTTGCTCGATTTTGCTGATTGACATCTCTTTCTAACCGTCAGAGCCGAACAGTGTGTGTGTGTGTGTGTGTGTGTGTGTGTGTGTGTGTGTGTGTGTGTGTGTGTGTGTGTGTGTGTGTGTGTGTGTGTGTGTGTGTGTGTGTGTGTGTGTGTGAGAGAGAGAGAGAGAGACTGTCGCATAGCCAAGACCGGAAGCTGCGATAACTCTGGTAGCTACCATTAGCAGCTAACTTTTACTCTCCGATTTTTACATAAAAATGGAATTATGGATTATAAATAAAAAAAATTATTACACAGAAACATTATTAATTTATGGATTAACCGATTCCGCCGCGTTTTTTCTCGTTTTAATGCCATTGAACAAGTCTTTTGATCAGATTGACAGCTACGGTGAGACGATCTCCCGTAAAAGCTCCGTAAAGGAATGCGTTGTGATGTCTGTGTTTGCTGCGTTAACATTTTTCGCTCAGGGGTCATTTAGATGCTTCTTATGAGACTTGTGTTTTGTTTTGGTAAAAATGGTTTGTATCGTCAGTTAGCTGAGATTATTCCCGTTAATCTGGTATAACACATTAATAGGTTCTTAAATATTAAGATCCCCTGAGACACAGTGGTAAAAAAAAGGACCCGCCGAGGGGGACCTTGGGGCTTGAGTCACATTCTTAACCTTTCCAGGCCAATAGAAATAATCCTTCATATTAAAAGCATTGCGTGTTGTGTCTGTTTTTATATATTTCATTTAAATCTTCATAAATAGGATGGCAAGGAAAAAAGCTTCTGAAACTTTAAAACATTTTCCCAACTCTTACTGGCCAATACCACATGTTTACGATAAAACAAATATCAGCCAAATATGCCAGTATGCTGATACATCAGTCGAAGAGGTTATAGCACTGACCCACCCACAACATTATTAAATATTGTCTACAAGTAAAGAAACAATAATTGTGTAAGGAATGTATGTGTCACTTTAGATTTTAACAAGACTCTATTAACTGCATATTACATTGTGGTGACTCGTGAAATAATATTATAATGATCCTCCTTTGTTAATAATTTCATTATCTAACTTGACACTATGAAATGACACCCCTGAGTTGCAACATAAACAACTTTAACTTTTGAGACAGTGAACACAGTTGTCACAGCTTGAACATCTGAGTGTCACACAGTGAACTTGTACACCTCAAATTAAACTTTTAACAAGCGCAGCTTTGTATCTGGGATCAGTGTGAGCTGCAGCTCTGATCAACTCAAACATGTTGTCAATGTGTCATGCATCATATCATGCTGTGCTATTTTCTAAATAGGCTGCATCATTCTGTCAAATACAATGTTCTCTCCTCACTGTGGTGTCCGCTCCTGTTTGATAACTGCAGCCGTCAAACTGCATGTATCTGTAGCTATTAGAGCAAATCAGCTGAGGTTCCCCGTACAAATTCAGGAAGGGCACCGGCCCCACCCGGTGTCAACTATGATCTGAAACGTTCCTGGTCAAATACATCCAGGGACCTTTTTTTTAATAATGTCTCTACCTGGACATTTCCTTTGCCCTAAAACATGTAATCAAGCCATAATGTTCAATTAAATTATATTCAAGTGTCGATTGTTAAAAAAAAAACCCTGCTCAAATTCAGTTGGTCAAATTGTTTTGTAAAAATCAGCTCAGGCTAAAATTATATCAAATTGTTTGCCTATGAATTTTTACAAATCCAAATTGAGCTGTTTTTGACCTGACTTGATATTTTTAGATCTGAAAAATAACCAACATAATTTGAGCAACTTATATTTACAATTCATTACAACATATATATTTAACACTAGCGGTATCTTATGGCACAACTGCACAGCCCTGTGTCAACTTTAAAATGTGAGATCAGTAAAACACACTTAAGGTAGTCTTTTGTAAATTCTGAGAAAGTAAAACTTAAATCATATTCATTCAGAAAGATGATTTTCAAAGTCAAATATATCAATGATACTAATAAAGTATTAAATGTCATCTATTATGTGAAATCCACTTTTTCACATCTCTTATTCATCAACATGTGTCCCCTCTAAAGACATTCTGAACGTTTCAGGAAAAAAAGATTCTCACTTTTTGTCCCGATCCATTTATATAAAAACTTGTGAGCTGATCAGATTTGGTCACTTTATGATGTCACAACGATTTTTTGGCTTGTGTGATTAGCCAATCACCAACCAAGGTAACCCCCCCCCCCCCTCCCCACTGTCACACTGAAAAGGATTTCATACACAGCAGGAGACTCTGCAGTAGTCGAGGAGGCTATAAGAAGCAGATAAATTAGGAAATGACTGGCAGATGCAGAATCCACACACACACACACACACACACACACACACACACACACACACACACACACACACACACACACACACACACACACACACACACACACACACACACACACACACACACACACACACACACACACACACACACACACACACACACACACACACACAGCAGAAGAAAAACAAACACACTTGTCTCCGGTAATATTAGAAGTGAGTTTTATTAATCACAAATAGAGTGGCTCTAAAATGAACAAAAAAAACCCAGCAGGCCCCAAATGGACATTCTACTGTATGTGAGTTTGGTTCAGAAAATCATTTTTCCTGACGAGTACCAGAGCTCAGAGTGTAACAGTTTAACAGTGGAGCGCTGCCATACCGCAGTTGAAAGACAATGGTGAGTTAGCCCGGTTTATAATACAGAACACACACTGGAAAGCACCTCTGCATGTGAAGAGAACTCCCCCCAGCACCGATCAGACAGATGTGTTCAGGCTGGGGGGGCATGGAGGCCTACATTTAGCTGCTGCTCATTAATTCCTGTTTGCCTCTACAGGTTTATCAAGCGCCTGAATAATTACAGCTCCATTACAACTGAATGGCACTTTCATAATTTCTGAGTCAGGATCATCGAGTGTTGGGGTGAGAAAGTCTTCTGTCTGTCAGTGTAATACATGAAAACACCTTAGTGCGTCTTTTCAAACTCTTTTAAGCTCATATATAAATGTCCCTGCTTTGGGTATCCATCTTTTTCTTTTGCCTAATAGTGCTATGTGTCTTTACCAAAAATAATTCCCACTATATTTAGGCACTAATACAATTCTATTTCTACAACACCTTCAACTCTATGAAAAAAAGCTATTTACAATTTGCAAATCTAAAGTAGGGGAGTGGAGATTTTGCCATGTCATCATTCCTCTCAAACGCCATTTTTTTGGTGGTTACGTGAACGCAACACGCAAAGCCTCTGACAGCAGTGTGGAGTGGAAGAGCGTGGCGAGGAGAAACTGGACTACTGTGAAGGCAGAAGGCACTTAAGAGGAATGACTTTTGTAAAACTGAGGAGGGGAAAAGTACCAGGAACAGATTCAGCTGGGAACCTAATCGGGATAATAAGTCATTTCGAAACATTTTCTTTTGCAACTTGGAAAAAGACAGCAGTGTTTCTTCTTCCCGTGTGCAAACGTTGGGCAGATCGTCTCTACCATGACTGATACTCAGGTCACATTTCACTACTCAAACATTCATAACGGCTGAACAAGAGATCCATAGGAGCTGTATGGAAATGACATGAACAATATCATGTGTTTGTTTGATCTGATTCGGTTCTGGTGAAGCTCTTGTTCATGACTTATGAGTGATTGTGTGAAATGTTACCTTTTCTCAGTCTTACAAATGGAAAGAGTTTTCATATCGCCTCAAAAAGGACATTTTTTCACCACTTAACATAATCTGGAGAGAAAGAGGAAAAAAACGTACAAATATCTATATACAATCAGTACAAGTGTAAACCCTCCAGACCCCCCCCCCCCCCCCTCTGTATATAACTGTAAATACAATATGAGCTTCAGTCAAACCTAAGATGATCTCTCTTAGCAACTAACTAAAGGTTAGAAGTGTTAGATAAGGTCTACTCTCTAAACAGCACAAATATCAGCAACGTAGATCAGAACAGATCAATATCAACCAGGATTCAGGTCAAAGATCGTGTGTTTAATGTGCTTCATCTCAGAGTGGTGCAGGAATGAGTCCTAAAACCCGGAAATGAGTTAGCATTGTACTACTTTTGGTTCTGTTTTCACAAAGTTAAAGTTTTTTTAATGTGTTTTTGGTAAGGTCTGTGGTTAACACAATTTAACTACTTCACTTACATTACTAAATACTACTAACAGCATCACACCGAACATTAGCCGCCTTTAGCTTAGCTAAAGTGGAGATGTGAAGTGTTGCCACCAACGGTCTGCCTTCTTACAGTGCAGACACTCCTCTGCTCGCTCTTGCCTCTGCTACTTTACTTTTTTCTCCTGATTTTTTCTATTTTTCTAACTTTCCAGCAGCAGTTCGGATCACTGGGACTATTATTCTTCGAGGATAGACAGAGAGATTATCCTGAACACAACATGTAAGCATCATAAAAGGTGTGTTTGCCACAGAGCTTATTTTCTGCAATATTCCAAAATCAAATGGAAAAGTCATGTTGTTTTTTTATTGGGTAACCCTTGCGATGCTAACTTATTGGTAAAACCAACAAAAATACTTGCTCCTGCACCACTCTATGGTTTTTTATGTAGTGTGAGTGTTTTCTCTCATGTTCTTGGTACCTTTGCAGCTCAAGAATAGGCGAGTCAGAACGTTTTGTGTTCTCCGTATCCATGTGTTTCTATTCAGAAATCAAATGGAGGCTTTTACACTGTATACTGTTTAAGTACCAAGTCTAGTTTTAGTTTTTTGGAGTCTGGAGGGCTGGCTTACAAAACCTGCATTATTATGATTAATATTATTATTATTATAGCGTAATACTGAATGTAAGCAAAACTCTTTCATGGACAGTAAATTCAATATATACAAGATTAACAGCAAGCATAGAAGGACACTTAAAACAAGAGAATGCAGCACTGATTGTGTGCAGTGTTCACAGCGTTTGACTGGCACTCTTCAAAGCCTCTTACTAAGACTATCTACAAACATCAACATGGGCGTTCCCGGCGGAGAAATTAAATATGTAAGACCGCCGATCAATGACCACTTTTCGATATGCTGACACAAGTCATTTCTTTCTTCCATTTGCAAAGGTGTAAATGCTTACAGCTTGATGCAAAGTGGTTAACATAATTATATCCACAATCAAAAAAAACAAAAAAACACCACGTGTTAGTATTTTACAAATATTTATAAAAGTAAACCTTTGTCTATAGGCATTTTAAAATATATTCCATCAAAAATAGTCTGACAAAATTCAACAGTAGAAAAGAAATGTTATACAAATGACAAAAGTTTTGAAGCATAAATAGAAAGGTTTCATGAATTTGGATTCTTTCTACCCGGCAGAACACAGAAATGTTTGTCCACCTCGCTCGGTGTTTAAAACCATGCAGTCACTGTAAAGTAACAACTCCATTATTTAGCAAAACAATTCAGTTGGTGGTGATGACAAATGAATCTCAGTCCTACGTGTGTAACAGTATTGTCGTCCTGTGAAGTCTCGTCACCTTTGGCAAACTTGAGTATTTGTGTTTCCGTTGTGCTGAGAGCTGGGAGTGGAGGAGGGGTCTGTCCGTGTCTCACAGTGGGGGGGGGGGGGCGTCCTCCGTCCCTCAGCACAGCCTCGTCAGCCTCTCTTCAGATCACAAATGAAGACTTGTGTCGGAAATCCCCCTGCAGAGAACACATGAGGAGCCAGAGTTAGTATCCCTCCCATTGCTCAGATATCCTTCTTACAGTGAGACCCTACAATGAATACATGCTGCTATGGTCAGTGGTGAAAAGTAAGGAAACTCCATTTTCAGGTTTGTACTCTACTTGAGTATTTTACTTATGCTACTTCATATTGTACTTTTTACACCACTATACTTTTTTGATTACTTAAGACACTTTATAGAATCAGATAAAAGCTTAAACAAAATGTATCTAAAGTAATTAATTGGCATTTAATTACAAGTGAATATATTCAGCAGCAGTACACAAAGTTATTAAAATTAGCTGTTATGAACAATTTAATACATAAAAAATGATAATCAGGTTATTTATTATCATATGTGATTCTGATATGGGCACAGAAATGGGACTTTAAATTCACGTTGAAGGCACTGCTGTCATACTTTTACTTAAGTAAAGTAAGTAGTAAGTAATGTTTTGAATGCAGGACTTAATTTTTATGAGAATTTTTACGATTTGATTTATGTTCTGAATGTGTAGTATGTTTTTAGTGGGCGTTTTATTTTACCACATTTCAGTCGCTGTAAGTATTTCAATGACTTTTATCACGTGAAACTACTTTGTAACTCTTCTGAGCCCTTTTCCCCTTCTGGGTGTAGTATTAGAGCGACTATTTAGTATTTTACAAATAAAGTCAACTTTATTCAGTAAAAGTAGTTAGACCACTGTGTAGAAAAAATACTTGGATACCAGTAAAAGTAGTGCTTTTTTTATTACAAAAGTATTAGCATCAAATGATACATATATCATATATACTTGAGTACATGTACTTAGTAACCTCCCACCACTGACTACCTATATTCTGTTTTTATAGCATCATTTGTAATCTCCACAGATTCTCAATCTAACTGCTGTCCACAAACCTCGTCCTCCGTCCTTACGTAGTCCACTCCGTCTCCTTTAGCTGGAACCTTGTAGCTAAAAGACACAAAGTACGCCATGGTTTAAAAAGGTTACAAATAAAAACATGTATGTGTTGACAGTGTGAATATCAGGAAGTCTTACTTGTTCCCCGTCTGTTTCTGGGTGGAGAAGTATCCTCGCTTGTATGCACAGCAGATCCCCGCTGTTATACTCATGAGCACGATGACCACCACCAGCACGCCCATTAAAATGCCCAAAACATCAATGTCATCTGTGGAGGTGAAGAAGGAACGTAGAAATTAAACACTGATCAACCTGATTGTCCAGACGACAGAGTAAATATAGTGTTGATTATGGTTTTAAATGACAGACATAGGATGTATATATCTTGAAACAATGTGTGTGTGTGTGTCACACTTACAGACTTCCATCTGCTGCGGCGGACACTCAGCGTATCCCGCATCGTTCTTCGCTCGACAGAAGTACTCGCCTGCGTCTTCTTTTCTGACCGTGATGAATTGCTGCATCGGAAAAATCACAACATGAATGGGATTAATACACACATACTGTCAATGTTTGTTTAACTTTTAGAACAAAGATAGATAGATTCTTTCTCTGGGGTTTAGTGAATGGAGATACCTAGAGCAGCGTCACTTTAGCCGCTGTGTAAAAACAAGCTTCTCGTGGTGCCGTCAGTCTTTAAGGCAACATATCAGAGGAGCTGGTGGTGCTACATTATATTAGCCTGTCTGCTGCTCTGTGCAATCACATTCAAACTCAGTGTCCTCATTAGAAGATGTTATCAGAGATTTGATTGGAGAAAGAATGTCCATTATATTCCTCAGTTATTTTTTAAAGGACATTTTATTTTTTAGTAACCAATGCCTTTACTATAGTGACAGATTTAAAAAAAGGGGGAAACAGAGGGGATGACCTGGGAAAAATAGTCCACTCCACTGAGCGGAGGGACACAGCGCTGAAGAGCAAGTGAGAATTGAGGAATGTGCAAGCGAGGACAGTGGATTCCCCTCGTGGCTCAGGTCCTCTCGCACCGTCAACTGTCTCCCCAAAATATCTGCCACCGTCCCCGCTGCCCCCCCTCTGCCCCTCATGCCTGTCCTTGTCTGCACACACACACTGACCAGAGTTCCTGAGTCTGCGTCCAGCGTGTACGAGGAGTTGAAGAACTTGAGGCTGGTCTTGTGGTCGTCGGGTACCTCCTCCTTGTTCTTGAACCACTGATACTGAGACTTGGGGAAGCCCTCCTCCTCCACACAGCTCAGCTCAGCAGACTTCCCAAAAGGCACTGACTTTGGGACGCTGCATTTTGGCATCACGGGTTTTACTGGGGAGAGACGGAACGTGGGGATTGTCAATATACTTAAACATGACATCACATTTTGCTGTTAGCCAAAGCGACTTACAATAAGTGCATTACAGTACAAAACTGGAAAAGCTGGGAGCAGGTTCTTTAGCTCTCGATAAGTCAAACCATTGTAAGAGCTACTGCATTAGCTTCAACTAAGCCACATATCTCATATCTCTGTGCTATGTACTGAAGTGTATCTTGGCTCTCATTTTGGCCAAGGTACAAGCAAAACTTTAGTCTCTAATGGAAGATATGTAGATGTTCTGCTGTCATGATATCAGATGTGGGAGAAGTACTTATACAGTTCAGAATTATATATATATGATATGTTTTATAATGATTGATCATGAAAGTGTTCTCAAAGCTGGTAAAGGTGCAGCTAGTTTGAATGACTTTGTATACTGCAGGGTAGCTTGTGGATTTACTCCAGGTGGAACTAAAGTCTGATTCAACACTTGATTAGATTTCACATCATTCATCCACATCTGTGAAGTAACTGAAGATATTAAATATATGTAGTGGAGTAAAAGTACAGTATTCACCTCTGAATTGTAGTGGGATAGAAGTACAAAGTAGCAAAACATTTACTCATTGATACATAATACTCAAGTTAAGTACCAGTCTCTCAAACTTGAGTAAATATACTCCGTTACTTTACACCACTGCATGATATCAATGGTGAGCTGTTCCACCATGTTGGAGCGAGGACAGCAAACAGACCTGTGCTTGTTTAAGGGAACCTGGGTCCAACCTGCTCATGTTCGCTAAGGATCACAGTGATAACAAACATTCCTTCATGATGCTGCTAGCTCTATGATTGACTTTGATGCTATAAAAAAAACAATGTCACCCCGGTCTCTACGGTTCACTGCACTAACAGCATCGACAGGACCGGACGGGAACATGATTTTCGTCCCGTGCCAAAAAACGCCACCAAAACACGCAGCGCTTTCTTTCTTTAGCACTGCGATTCAGAGCAGATGCAGTTTCAGAGGTTTCCTCTTATAGCACGGAACACGCCTTTGCAGCGGGGCAGGTCTGCTCATAACACATCCTCATATGTATGCCAAAGGGTTGGTGCGACCTACCACACGCTCTCATCTTACAGCATCCAACGTGTGAATCACTGAGCAAGGTCTCTCTTTAAGGGCACCATAATGACTGCTTTCTGCATTTAGAAGAATCCTTATCATAATTAACTATAAATGAAACAAGCTGATGAGGCCGGAATGTTCCAGTACCTCGTACAACAAGGTCGATCACGATCTCATCGAAGGACCTCTGGTCATCCGCAGCGGTGACCTCACAGCGGTATTTGGCCGTGTCCGACCTGGTGGCGTTGGTGATGAGCAGCGTGGCGGGTTCTCTGATCATCGCTCGGTTCTCCAGGTCGCCTGTTTGTGGAAAATCATGTTCAACAATGTCAGCAATTAATGTGTACACTGAAAAAACTGAAATGTTGACTTTGATTAAATGTATTATGTCTCAAGATTTCAAATAACTGTATTAGGTCAGTTGAAAGGAATAATGTTAAGTTTAAATAACAAATATTATTGTCAACTTAATATTATCGCTTTGAACTAACCTTAAACAGTAATGTGACATTTGTGGACATAACACACTTAAAGTCATTGTTTCAGGTATTTCAGTGTACAAAACCGCAGAAAATACTTGTTTGTGCATTTTGTACATTACCGGAGATTTTCTTGTCAAAGTACACATAACTTGGTCCCTCGTTCGTTATTTTCTTCCATTCGATCCTGGGGTTGGATGTAGAAATGGACTCAATCAAACAAGATAACTCGATTCCTGAGAAAACGGAGTGACACGTCAGGATATGAATGCAAGTGAAAAACAGATTTTGTATTTGATTTGTTTGTGATTGGGGTATTGTTCGTCAGCTCTTACTGTCAAACTCATCGGTCCACGGTGCTACGTTGCTGGTTTTCAGCACGACTGCTAATACGCTGAAGTAGCCTGTAACAAAAAAAGAAGAGGAACATGAATTTTCATGATACAGTGATGATGTCATGCGATATGCACAATGCCAGCTGCCATCCAGTGATGTGCTGGACTTATTTTAACACTACCCCTTAAGGAAGGTGGTTGCATGTTCACTTCTTAGATTTCATTGACACATTGAGGATAAATGTCAATCCCACATCAGTGTGATGGTATTATATAATGATGTGTTCTCTTCAGTAATGTTCTGTTACCGCCTATCTTCCATTTTTAGTTGTGTTGGTCGAACCATTGTGTGTGTGTGTGTGTGTGTGTGTGTGTGTGTGCGTTGAGGGTGGGGGTGCTGTTTCTATGCTTAGTGGATAATTGCGCAGGGAGGCATGTGCCCTTTCCAGGGCAAGCTCACCCTGCCAGTAGTTCAACCGCCTGCCGAGCCCTTCCCCGACCCCCCCCCCTCCCTCCCTCTCTCTCTGAGGCTGATGCCCATGTGGGACTGATGGTACAACAGCACCCAAGGAAGATCTGTGTGGGTATGTGGTGGAGGGCTAGGGCCTTAGGAAGGGGGGGGGGGCGGGCTCTGCCGAGTCATCGTGACAGCCTATGGTCCACAAACACAAGTCACTTCCACATGAATGTGAACTGAGAAACATGCTCACAAACAGAATGAAGTGATGCTCTGGCTCTTTGATAGGGTCATTGGTGCAGATTGTACCGTCACTGGAAATCTATGGGATGCCTAATCTCTGTTTGTGCAACCTCTCCTGCTGCCAACCCCCAGCTGGGTTATGATTAGGTGTAACACATACTGGTTTATTTCAGGCAACCTATATCAGAACCTCTGCATGACATGACCTACAACATTCCCTGTTGGAAAGTTAATTCACGACCACCAAAGGACCTTGAATGTTGCAAACAGTATGCAGGAATTGTCCGTTTCTAATTAGTGTTGGAAAAGGTCAGGGGTCTCTTATTAAAAAAACTGCTCAAACAAGGATAACCTGACCCCCACCAACTGTCTCCTGGACACACAGTCTCGGGTCACCTGCCGGAGCCGACGGGCTAAGCTGATTAGCCTCCGTCTTTCTGGAGAAGAAGACGACAGCTTGTTTTTAGCTGCTGACAGTAATAAGGCAGTGTGGAGGTCAAAAGTAGGTCACAACTCCTTTAAAATACAACTTGGAGTGTGAAGCCCAGATACAATGAGGGTTTACCACAAATGTGTTGGTGACAAATGAAAGGTAACTCTTTCTACACACAAAAGGAAAGAGGAAAATAAAACTTCTTTCCACATAAATATCCATATTCCAGGAGCAAAACTCAGAATCAAACTTTAACAAAGCATTGTAAAAGAGCACAGAGGAGAAGCTGCACTCCTTTTAGAAAGTGTGACAATCACACTTCAAAACCAGTGGAAGGCTGTCACTTATTTAGCTCCATCTCTGCAGCGCTACATGCAGAGAGCACACACAGTTAAAAGCTGTGTGCAGAGGAGAAGGACTTTTAACTATCATGTTTCTGAGAGCTCCTTGTACTGTTGCTATATTCTGGTACAAATGCAAAGCTCCTTCTGATGAAAAGTGGCTGAGGGGTAAAGTGTTTTTCACACTGATGTCTAGGAAATATTTACAAGGAAAACTGGGTCACAGTGTGAGTGGTGCAGGAATGAGTTCTAACACATGGAAATTAGTTATCATTTTACCACTTCTGGTTCCTTGGTCTCAAAGTCAACGTTTTTTTTTAAACAACATAAATGATGTCAGTAAATACCCGAACAGTGAATATCTGGAGCTTCTATGTGTCATAAAAAAGGGGTTGCTAACAAGTAAAAAAAACGAGACTACTAAACGTCAGCACACCAAACATTAGCACCCTTTAGCTTAGCGGTGGTGATGCACAGTCATGACACTGATGTAGTTTGTTTATAGTCTAGCGCAGGGATGGGCAAATGGCGGCCCGGGGCCTCCTCTTTTTGCGGCCCTCAGATTAAATTTATAAATAACGTAATTAATAAAAAAAAGAAAAAAAAAAGTACTTCTTTACTTGTAGTACTGATACCGTCCACTAGACTCCTAGTTACGCGAGCTGCGTACATGATTTCGTTCAGCAGCCAAATACCGCAAAATAATCTGTGACGCGTTTGTGTGTATTGTGTTTGTTTCCCGGGAAACCCTCGCAAGAAACACCGGCTGTTGTTATGCCTGCTGTGACGTTAAGTTGCCGCTTGTAATTATGCCTTAACAAGCTTAAAAGTTGTTTTTATCATCTCAATTTGGCGAAACAAGTTTAATATTCTAAAAACCAAGACTTTGTTTATTTGAAATCAGATGAAAACAAACTGCACGGACCCTGCCGTGTTATCTATGATTACTATGCTTTTCATTCATAATTTCAGCGGGAGGGAGGGGGAGCGGCGCTGAGGAACAGCAGAGTGCGGGTTGACAGGTGCCTGTCTCTGCATTCCCCGTATTGTGCGTCAGCAGAGGCTAAAAGTGTCTTATGTTCAAGTTAGACAACTAATGTCTGGGTTAGTGTTCATGACTTCATGTTTATGTCATCTCAATGCACACACATTTTCCGTGCTTTCCAATAGCTTAAAAATAGTTTTATTCCACTGTTAAATAACCTGTTCAATACAAATATGCCACTTGTAAAAATTAAATAACATTTCTGTGAACTGATATTTAGTGAGGATGTTCCCTGAAAGATTGTAAAATGTCAATGAAGATGTCAGACTTAGTATATTTGTTAATAATTACATACAATGTGTGTGTGTGTGTGTGTGTGTGTGTGTGTGTGTGTGTGTGTGTGTGTGTGTGTGTGTGTGTGTTCCAAGTGAATCTGCGGCCCCCTGGTGCCAGTACATCAATGATGTGGTCCCCACCACCATCCAAGTTGCCCATCCCTGATCTCGTTAGGTTTTTATTCTGGAGATTGGATTTATACTTTGAAAAAAAAAATCACAATATTTTGAGATGATCCTGCTGAACAAATCCTGTAAGAATGATAAACTTGTGTTTGCCACAGATCTTACTTTCTGCAATATAGCGAAATCCAATGGAAAAATCCCATTGCTCTTTGTCGAGGGAACCCTTGCAATGCTAGCATCCGGGTCGTGACAGATACTGTATGTGCTCTTCAATTTGATTCCCTGTCAGTTAACTTCATAAATCTATGTACCTGTATAAATATGCTTTTTACTGTTACTAACAAAAGCTTGAGTATGTGAGGCATGTCAGTGCTTACCAGTGGGTTTGAACTGCAAGTATATGGCATGCACTGTGTAAGTTAATACCAAATCTAACTAGGCCAAGTATGCCAGGAGTCCAAACCATCAGAATAGGCCGTGTTAAAATAGAATCCAACATGACAATACATTATTCCAGGTGATTCATTTAGTGCTTTGACTTTCCATTAAGTGCAGGTTCTTCTGTTCGGACAGAGCTAATGGAGTCTCTGTCTGTGTGCTCCTCCTTAATTCGGAGAGTATCAGAGCAGATTAGGTGACTAAGTGAGCTTGACGTAGATACACAAAGCTTGAGAGGTCTGCCATGGAAACAGCTGTCCAAGAAAAGACCAAACCCCCCACACAGAGAGACTGGCCCTGTAGTTAATCTACATTATAACCCAGGTTAGTAAACAGGGAAGCAAAGCAGCCATGACTTCTGACTGAAATAATACAAAGTATTGTAGTGTATTTGAGACCCTTTAGTTTGGAAATAAGCATTCAATGCGGGCATCTTCAGATTTTAAATATAATGCTGTACAATGTTAGAATAATAATCTTCTAAAAGTAGCATTAAACGACCTCCACTCCAACTCCTCCTTTTATTAGTCACCCCATTTGACTTATAAGCACTTTCAAATCAGCATTTGATACAATATAACTGACATGCATCCCTGAGGGATTAGTAGAGGAAAAGCTTGTATACATTGATAAGTCAACAAACAGTAAATGTATCAACTATTTTCATAATCCATTGAGTCATTCATACTCATATATACTAGTCATGGGCTGTTGACTGTTGCTGGGACAGACAGTGTGCTTGTCCTTTAAAAATAATAATAAATTATTATAATTATAATTATTATTATTATATAAATATTATTTCCTTGACAATCAATAGATTATCTGAAAAGTAATATAGGCATTGTTAGTGGCAGCCCTAGTCATTTATAAAGTGTCACGTCCTAGTGCTGAATTCCTAATAATTACCTGGCACAAACTAAAGTGTATACTGTATGAACAAATTAAGTGGTAGTTTATTGTAAGTGTTTTTATCATGCTGATGGAAGTGATAGTGAAATTAGAACTCCCCTTTTATCTCCATTTGAGCAACTCATTACATGTGTGCTTTATTTGAGTTTCCTTTAATCAAAGATGTCACCAGCTGGATGGTCCGGTACAGTATCTGAGTTTAATGAAAGCTCAGGAAGTGCTGACAGTGCGTTATCCTGCAGTGTGTCCGACATCCTAATCATGGTCGTGTCTCCTTGAACAACCTCTGAGGTTTCCTCCTCATCTCTCCTATTAATGGCACCAAAGATAACTATACATTATTAACTGGTATATTCTCTGACTCAAGCCGTACGTGTGTGTGTGTGTGTGTGTGTGTGTGTGTGTGTGTGTGTGTGTGTGTGTGTGTGGTGTGTGTGTGTGTGTGTGTGTGTGGGTGTGTGTGTGTGTGTGTGTGTGTTGAACATGATTAGCTTTTACACCATGCAGGTGCTCAGTGACCTACATATGGCATGCATTTCATTTCTCTCTTCCCCTTCTTGGATGCACACAGCTGTGTGGGATCAGGCATCAAAGTTACATTTTAATCTTCCTTACTGTCCTCCTGATGGACTCAGGGTTATCTTTGTAATCGTAGTGTAATGCCTTCATATCCCCTAAGGTTTCACATCCCTGTATAATACAATAGGCACAGAGGAGCTGGGTATTTCCTGATGCCTGCACTGAGATGAATCCTTCCCTTCTCTGTTGTTCCCCCTGGGAAGGCACGCTTGTTTCCGCT